ACATTTCTGAATCAGAATCTGTTGGGGGGGGGACTGGAAATCTATGTTTAACCTTCTGATCTAAAACACTGCCAAATGTAAAAGCTGAAAGATTAGAAAGCTGCCTCTGGTCAATCAGAAAAAACAATTAGATAAAGCAAGTTATTCGATATAGCAGGTTATTCGATATAGCAGGTTATTCAATAAAGCAGGTAATTTAGTTATAACACCTTATCTGTTTTTCTCTTGAGACTTAAATCAAGATATTTTCATTCTGATTTTTTAAAATGTGCCTTCCAAAACAATTCTTATTTTCTCTGTGGTGGCTCTTGAGGTAAATAGTTGCTCACTGAGGGCTAGAGGATGTCCATCTTGGCTTTGATAGGAAAGTAAAGCAGGAAAAAAAAAAGACATAAGGCAGATCCCAAAGAAAATCTATCCCCATGGAGTTTCTTTCCAGGGCAATGAAAATGTTCCAGAATTAGATAGCGGTGTCAGTTGCACAACCTTTTGAATATACTAAAAAATCCACTAGATTGTACACTTTAAAAGGATGAATTTTATGGTATGCGAATTGTATCTCATTTAAAAAAAAAAAACTATCACCTACCTGTTCTCATACACCCTGAGCTAATATCTAAGGGGTAGTTCAGTACAGCAGCACAGCAAAAGTTAAAAACAATTGCATTAAGGCATGAAATTCTACTTAGTGGGTTATAACCTCTCTTTTAACTTGAAGAAGCTCTATTAGCACCACTCAACCTCCACCTCATCTCCCTCCCTCCCCCGCAAAAAGGATGAAAAGAGTAAAGGCATGAGATCCACTGGAATTAGTATTTCTAGAGCAGTAGTTCTCAACAAGGGCGATTTTACTTCCCAGGAGACATTTGCCAATGTCTGGAGACATTTTTTATTTTTATAACTTGGTTACTGGCATCTAGTGGGTTAAGGCAAGGATGCTACTGAATGGCCTACAACACACACAGAAGTGCCCACAACAAAGAATTATCCAGGGCAAAATATCAACAGCTGAGGTTCAGAAACCCTACTCTAGGGCAGTGCTGTTCACGGGTGGTCTGCAGGCCATCAGCAATAGCATCACTAGGGAACATGTTAGAAATGCAAAGTCTCAGGCTCCACCCCAGACCTACTAAATCAGAAGCTCTGGACGTGGGGCCCTGCAATCTGTGTTTTAATGAGCCCTCCAGATGATGCTGATGAATGTTAAAGTGTAAGAGCCACTGCTGTAGTTAGCAACCTTACTCTTAAACACGAATGCAACAAAAACACAGAGGTGAAGTTACTTGTCCAAAGTTATCCTCAGTTACTATGACACAAAACCAGGATTCGAACTCAGGCAATCTAATGTCAGAACCTGTACTCTTAACTACCATGCTATAACAAAAACCAAACCCATTGTCGCTGAGTCGATTCCAACTCATAGCAACCCCACAGGACAGAGGAGAACTGATCCATAGGGTTTCCAAGGAGCGGATGGTGGATTCAAACTGCCGAGTTTTTGGTTAGCAGCCAAGCTCTTAACCACTGTGTCACCAGGGCTCCAACCATGCTATACTGACCGTCAATTAAACAACAAACAAAACAAACATAAAACCAATAATTAAGGCTTTTAAACAATGTGTAATTTAACTTTTGTACATTAGCAATTTCTTTACTCCTCCATTAGAGGACAAAAATTGTTGATAGAATGCAGTTAGGCAGAGCAGAAAGAATGGAATGGAGAGACACCACCAAAAAAATGATACCTTCCCTACTTCTAGTATACATTTTACACGCTGCTAAATAAGTAGTATAAAAATCATAAGGATATGTTAACATTGCTGAGCTTCCCAGAAGAAATGTACTGAGTCTAAGTGATGATTCTTTTCACGTGAAGTTTCTGGCCATTATCTGGTAGCATTCCAGATTTTTGTTTCAGAGTCTCTAAAACCTGGGAAAGTACAATCTTTTTATTGAGATCCCGGTATAGCTCAAGAATTAGGCTTGACAGATGTAATAAATAAGCAGGGCAGCTATTTCTAAGAGGTAGGAATACATTTTGACTCAGAGGGTGGGGAGAGGAGGTAGAGTGGAAACTTTCAAGCACATCCTGCTGAACTTGCTCTTGCTGCGTAAACTTTGATTTGGAATTTAAGTTCAAAATGGTTTCTGTTTGTGGGATGATACTTTGTCTTTTCCTAAGTATTCCTCTTTCAACAGAAATTTGGAACATTTGGTTCTTGAGCTGGTAGACTCTTTAATATCCGGCATCTGGAGCAGTGAGTTGTTCCACACAAATGAAGTCTGCATAGGTGACTAACAGTCATACCTTTAAGTGCCTGAGGTTTTATTATTTTAACAATTCCTAGTGGGAGACTTTCGAAAATGTATTACATACATCTCTCGTCTTAAACAAAATGCTATGTAATGAAAATAAACTTTTATTTGATATTCGGGGTGGTAATTATAACCTTCAATAACTGAATATGGAAGTTCTTGGAGTATATAAGGCTGTCAGCCCAAAGACTGAATCACAGGACTGAACTTTTAGTTCTTGGGTCTTCTCTGTCACTGACAGCTGTCTTGTGTTTTGCTGAGTGTTGCAGTCACCTTCTAACTTGCTGTGTGCAAAGAAACCACACAACCAAGTCGGCTGGAAGTGTATGTAAAATAGAGCAAATTATTATAAACGGGAGTCTTTTCACTGGAGTATATTGGATAGATATTTTTTTCTTACATTTGGTTTTGGAATTGTGTTCAGTATTAATCTGGCCTCCAAATATGGGGAGTGCTACTAGATTGATGTACATTTCCAGCTACCTCAAACATTTTTCATATAAACATTTATTCTGCTTTTTATATAATAACAAAAGGGAACAAACCCAGCATTTAAACTCAAACTTATTTTGAAACAATTTGATGTACAACGTTTTTAAGTGTTTCCAAATCCTAGAATTATTCATCTTTGTGTGGACCCTAACCTCCAGTTTTGTCACTGATAATCTCTAACCTTATCTTCTCTAGAAATTTTCCTTGAAGAGACTTCTAATGACATTTCAAAAAGCCTACTTACAAAATCATATGCCTTGACCTCTCTCTGCAGCTGATAAGGTGAATTATTCCTGGTTTGTTTACGGTTTGTCAGATTCTAAATTATTCTAGATTCTCTCATATTCTCTATTAGTATCCTTCAAACTGCCCTGGCGATTTTTGCTTTATATTTTTATTAACATTTCTCATTCAAATAACTGCACTGACTACCATCTTTTTGCAGATGTCCTTCAGATACACCTTCATTTTAAAAGTCTTTGTTTCCATGACTTTTCTTTCTAGACTTTAAACAATGTATCCCTACTTCAAATTCAATTAACTTCCTCATCTTTGCCCTCTTCTTCTAGCATTGAGGGAGGCACTATTTGTACAGACTCAAAATACAAAATCTTAAGAATCTCAGCCTTCTATTTACAACCTCTGCCAAATCTATTTCTTCCACATAATCAAAGAATGTGGTATTTCTTTCCTTTATCTCTTCCCCTGCCTAGTCAAAGCTTGGCCACATTATGCAACTTATCAGTTTTTCCCTCCTCCAAAATACAGCAGTTAAACACATCTTCTCTGCCTGAATTTGGAACATTACATTCCATTAGAGTTGTAAGCAGTATGCTAACTATACCTGAAATCTCAAGAATGCTCTAAAATATAAAAAGTCATTGACTATATAGAGCTCTACCATAATATATATTCTGTTTCAGAGGATGTAATTTATTCCTGACACAGCCAAATTATGAAAATATCGGATTCTACTTTCATTACATTTTGTTACAACCAACCTAAGGCAATGCTTTCAAATCTTTCCACCAAAGTGCCCCAGCACAGGAGAGTGCCATCTATACTCCAAGGATCTGAACACAGAACCCAAGACACAGGCTAAACTGAGAATTTCTTTGAAATTCTGTGTTTTATCTTTAAAACAAATGTTTGGTCTGCTCCATAAATATATTCGTGCTTATTTTATTATAGAAACTATATTTTCAATTATTATCAATGAGTAAAACTAACGTCCCAGAAACAAGCACTACGTTTATTCCGTGGCTCTTCATACCCCCTTAAGTCCACCGCCCCCCACCCCCAACCCAGACACTGGCACCACAGTTTGAAAACATGCAAATACGGTTTTAACGCCTGGCTCTAAAGGCACGATCGTTTGCATTAGAATTGAACACATATTAGCTTTAAAATGTGAGAATTTTAACAACCGTTTAGTGAGTTAGAATCCCACTACGTTGCTTCAAATGTCTTTTATTTCTATTACTGATTGCCAAATACTTCCAAATACCAAGTACCTCCACACCACTTACTTTCTAATTGCCAAAATGCACCTCGCATTTTAAATACTCTGTCTCTCTGGGTGCATTTTCGTATTTTTCCTAGCCCAAACTATTTTTGGAGCCCGGTTCCTGTAATCGCTCAGGTTCCCTTTAAGAGTCCTCTTTTCTTTTCCAGGGGACAAGGCTCATCCCTGAAGGGGCAATGCTCCATCCTCCGTGAACGCTACAACAAAGGCGAGGAGTGTCGTAACCAGGAGTCCCGAGTGCCTCCACCGGCTACGCCGGGGCGCAGGCAACCAACGCTTTGGTGTCCCTAGAAGCGCGAGAGTGAAGCGCCAGCGCCTCACCAGCTGCAAACAACAACAGTCCTAATTACAGTGTCGCCTGCACCCCATCATTAGACTCCACTGAGCCAGTTTTCACTCGGAGAGCCGCCAACACCTCAAGCCCGGCAAGTTTCCCTCGGACCCTGGGCCAAGCCTCCTCCCCACCCGCCCGGCTGTTCCAGGCCGACCCCTGCCGCGGGTGTAGACGCGGTCCGCACCGGCGTCCCCCGGCTCCGCCCGCCTCAGGCCCCGGATGTGACAGCGCCGCCGCCCTCGGCGCCCGCCCCCCGGGACAGGCATTGGGGGATCCCGGAAAGGCGGCCTGAGGTGGGGGGGTCTTCCCACCGGCCCGCCGGTCATGACATACCCAAGTGAGAAGGCTTTCGCACAGCTCCACCCGCTCCACCGACTCCACGTTGAACATCTTCCCCTCCTGGGGCTTGGCAGCACCTCCCCACCTAACCAGAAAGCGCTGCTGCTCGGGTCTGGGGCTCAGTCCGGAGGGTCCGAGCAGCTGACCTGGCCTCTATCCCACCTTCTCCGCGGGCCCGGGCCGCCGACTCTCGCCCCTGCGCTTGCAGTGGCTCCCGCACCGTCACCCCTGGGCCCCTCCTTCTTCTTTCAATCGGGACCGCGCGCCCGTTGCGCGCGCCCCCGGCCACGCCCGCAGTCCCGTATCCCCGCCCCCAACCTCCCACGCCCCGCCTCCCGAGAGCGGCGGCCCTAGCGAGCGCCGCGGTGGCCGACCCACTGCGCACAATCGCGCTACGACCGGCTCGCATCACCGCTGCCGCCGCCGAGCGCGTTCCCGACTCTGGCCTCGCTGCGTGTGGCGGCGTGCACGCGCTCGGCCCTGGCGGCCCCGGCGGCGGCGGCGACGGCGGCAGCGGCGGCGGTGAGGTCCTTCTTCGCCCGTCCGCTCGCGCCCTCACGGAAGCTCCGCAGTGCGCGTGCGCCGGTGCCTGCACCCTGAATTAAAAAAGACACAGCTAGTGGTTGCCCGGGAGGGGTGGTGGGGGTAGTCCCCGGAAATAATCTCTATTCTCAGGCAACGGGAATTGGCGAGGTAGTTCCTCTGCGGTGGAGAGGTACGCGCGCCCCCTCCCCCTCCCCGACCTGCGGGCCACGCCCACCCGGATTCGGGGCCCGCGAGAGTCCCCGGCTATCCTGGTTCTGGGTGCGCGCCCTTCTGCCGCGGGGTCGCTTCTGGGTCGCCGAGGCGCTTCGTGACGTGGGGAGTCTCTGCCTCGGACCCCAGGGCTCCGCCTTCCTTCAGGAAGCCCGGACAAAGCCCCACAGTCGCCGGTTTCCGTGCGGAATCGCCCGGAGACGGTGAAAGGGCCGACGTGGCGGGCGTCTCGGTGGTTCTAGGTGGGCTTGGCCGGCGGTGATCAGAGCCCGCTGTTCCTTTGGGTCGCTTGGAGCCTCGACCCCCTTAAAACTTTAAAAGTAGGGAGCGGGTGTGCGCAAGTCGCTAATCCTTAAGGGCTCCCGACAGTTCCTAGGGCCTGTTTCTCCTAGTGCCGAGTTTAGAGTTGGCGAGGTGGATCGCCCTCGAGCTCCCACCTTTTTAGAGGAGTGACTCTCTGAAGGGTTACCGATACATTTTTATGCGATGTATACAGAAAAATGCGTACAACATACATGTCTAGAGAAAAATTAATAATCACTCAGATTAAAACAAAACATTGCCGGAACTCCAGTTCCTTCACCCACTCCCCGTGTTCCTTTCTGAGCGCAGTTTCCTCCTTAGCCTGACTTTTGTGATAATCTTTTTTTCTCGCTTTTCTTTATAGCGTAGCCGCCTATGTATGCATGCCTAAACAATATAATGAACTTTTATAAATGGAATCATATTGTGTTATTTTGGGGCTTTAAGTGAATATTAAATTCGTGTGTGTGTGTACATATGTATATATGTATGTATGTAGGTAATGTTTGGAGCCCTGGTGGCGCAGTGGTTAAGAGCTCGGCTGCTAACCAAGAGGTCGGCAATTCGAATCCACCAGCAGTTACTTGGAAATCCTGTGAGGCAGTTCTACTCTGTCCTGTAGGGTCGCTATGAGTCTTAATCGACTCAGCTGGCAACGGGTTTGGGTTTTTTTTGGTTTTATACGTTATGTTTATTGCTGTCTGATATTCCGGTATGTGAATGTAACAGTGTATTCTTTCTACCGTTGATGGACATTTTGTTTACAGCTTGATGCTATTTAGAACATTCTTATATTTGGACTCTAGTGCATATTTGTAGGAGTTTCTTTAAGGTACGTTCCTTGGAGTCCTAAGTGTAAAGTTGTTGAGTCGTAGGGTATGTGTAACTTTACCAGGTAACAAACATTAACAAACTTTCACTTGGGGTGCCTCAAAGTTAACCTCCCAGGGCACATTTTTACTTTGATTTGCAGTTCCGGGAATCCGCCTTTTGGGAAGAGTAGATCTTCTCATTGAGCATCCAACGCCAAGAAAGCATTGAGTTTTTAATGATGCCCTTACAAAGTACCAGTTAACAACTCACAGGAGATGAACTTTAAAAAAAATATCTTACCTGAAGTGTTCTCAGTCGTCTTTCAAAAATACCTCCCTACAACAAGGGAGAGAACCCTTTAGAAATTACAAATACGTATCATTTGGCTTTGTTTACTCTGTTACTGCCTCTGGATCTTTGTCAAACCTGAGTTCCTACATTCCATACTAGGTTGTTTCTGCAGAATCCCTAGCACTTTAAGTGACCTGTACCCTTCATGGAAACCCTGGTGGCATAGTGCTTAGGTGCTACGGCTGCTAACCACGAGGGCGGCAGTTTGAATCCACCAGGCGCTCCTTGAAGACTCTGTTGGGCAGTTTTACTCTGTCCTGTAGGGTCACCATGAGTCACAATCGACCTGACGGCAGTGGGTTTGGTTTGGTTTTTGGATACCCTTCATAGGAGTATAAAGTCAGTAAGTACATGACTTAGGCCTGACTCAAGTGCAGCTTGTCTTCAGATTTGGAGATGAACAAATTGCTAGCCTTTGCTAGGAGGTACTGTGGTTAGTGAGCACCTTTATTTCAGCCGCTCAGGTTTTCAATAGACCTAAAACCTTGTTTTTCAAGCTTGACTGCTCAGCCACAACACATTTGTGCATTGTATTGCTGTGTTCTCAAGCTTTCATGTTGTAGATCAAACTACCCTCAATGGTGGAAATTATATTAGAAGCTTCTTGGATGTAAGTCATTGTGGAAACCATGTGGCCTTCAAGTTTCTAAATGAGCTTGGGTAAAAAGACACTGAGTTTCTTCTTTGGAAGCTCTGGAATTTCCTTTATTTTTCTGAAAGTTTTGGAAAGGACCCTGGAGAGATGAGTGGTACTTGTTTTAGCTGTGTCCCTATTCCAGTTAGAGGAGGCTAGTTCTCTACAGCTGTTTTATCAGATTCAAGTAAACATGGTAGTGTTCTACGTGGCAGTGTGCCCACGTTTACCTGTCTTCCCAGGAAACACACACAGCTTTGAAAAGAGTTTGAGATGCTATGTAGTGTAGCTATAGGAAAGGCATGGCTAAATTTTATCATGGTTCTACTGATTCCTTGACAGTGGTTAATAATAGTAGTCAAAATATTATAGCTTCCATTTACTGAGAGCTTACATGATGTACCAAGCAATATGCTAAATGCTTTACCTTCATTATATCATTATAAATTCCTTAAAGCGAGACATTTTTTACCCAAAAAAGTTGTAGTTTGATATGATTCAGCCTCATTTTCAGGATTAGGAAATATGAGGAGTTTTCCTAATATGTATGAAGAAGCTGAGTTCCAGACTTTACTTAAGTTCAGAGTTGTCTGGCTCCAAAACTTATGGTTCTTTGCTATATTAAGCTACTCCTCAATATGACTTAGCCAGCTAAGCAGTAACAAAACCAAAGCTGGAAGCCAGTTCCATTCAGGATTCTATCAGTTATACTACACAGTTTCCAAAATCTATTGTGGATTTTCTTTTTTTTCTTTTGTAAATCTTCATCAGTTTAAAACAGACAGTACTAGTAACTCTTGTTTTTTTGTATTTGACAGGATTTTATGAAATAGATTAGATACCATGTTCTGTGAATTTAACAACCTTGTTCTGAATTTTAAGTAAACATTTAGAGGTCCCTACAACATGTAAGACCCAGTCTGTTGCTCAAGGGAATAAGACATAGCTCCTGATTGAAAGGAGCTCAAGACTTATGAGGGACTTTAGCAACTGCAATTGACAAAGCCCTGCTGTAAATGGGGGTACCTCCCATTTGCCCTTCACTGAGGTCTTTGCACCATCAGGAAACTGAGTAACTAGGGGTAGTAGGTAAGAATAGGACTAGAGACAGAAATTTTAAACGTTTGAGCATTAAAACCTAATTTCCTCCAGGGAGGAAGTAACTGTTGGCTTTTATTTTTATTGTTAAAGTAAAACTTGAAAAGAATTCAGATTATAGAATTGTATTCTGGGAAAAGTAAAGGTCTGGCTCTCCCAGTCCTGCTCCCTGCCTGGAAACACTTTAACCCTTGGTATTTATCTTTCTGGACTTTTTTCTATTCTGAAAACTCTGAATCAGAGAAAGGTAGTGCTGGAAGGAACGTAAGAAATTATCAAGTTCAACTTTTACATTTTACAGAAAAGGACAAGTCCTGAGAGAGTAAGTGGGTCACAGTTGTGGTGGCAGTATTAGAAGTAGAATCTCGGGCTCTTCATACCCAAGCATCTTGGGCTGGAGTTCAGAGCCTGTGCTGTTGAAGAAAAGCAGCAGCACTGTTTTGTTCTAGACAAGTCCTGACTGGGAAAAACAAAAGTTAGAGAACTGAAGTCCAGATTGAATTTGGAGTTGATTTTCAAGATTGAGGTATTATGTCATCTCAAGTAGGAAATTTTGTTTTTGTCTGTTGTTTTGTCCCTTTTAATCCTAAATCAGGTTGGCCCCTTTCTAAATTGAGATGATATTTTTCCTTGTATTACCTCATTTTTTGAGCCACTAGCTCCTACAGTTCCTTTTTTACTCTGACTATAAGAAAAGCTACTGGCTGAAGGTGGACTGTTGAAGCCCCCAACAAGTAGGTCAGACTCCATTAGTAGATCTCCATGTGAGAGCCCTGGGTTTAGCTGGGATTTCTAGGTGACAGGAAAATGCAGCTGACCCGTCTGTTCCTCTCAGAAACTTACCAGCAGTCTTCTCTCCTCTCAGGTAGGGCAGCCAAGCACCTCCTTTGGTGATATCAAAATTTGTGGAAATAAAAAGTAACTTTATGTCAACAACATTGGGGGCTTCTGCTATAAAATGATACAAATGATGTGTAGCCATGTGGTACTTAAAGTATCTTAGATCTCCCAGCTCTTAGACGTGTGCATGAAGCAAAATCTTAACGTTTTAATTGCTTAGAAGTCATACAGATACACACACACACACACACACACACACACACACACACATCGTACAATAGAATTTAGTCACATTACCACCGATTACATCTGAAGTGCATAGAAACAAATGTAACCCATTTTTTTAAAAAATATGTAATAAACTACCTATATATGTATAGCATAGGAAAAAATGTGAGTAATTTAGTAATAATTATTATCTGTTGGTGCACTTAATTTGCAAAGCACTTTCACTCTGTTAATTTGGTTTAAATCCTCACGACTCTGTGAAGTAATTAGATTTAGTCATTAGAGGCTGAGAACTGTTGACAGAGGGGATAACACTGGTTATCATTCTCATTGCCCCTTAGAGCCTTTGACACAGCTACAGCATCTCTAAATTAAAAAGAGAAACTCTTAATAAAAATCTAAATTGACTACATATGCCACCCTGAGATGATTTGAGGCTCTTTCTTCACTTTTAGTTGGCAGTTCATTTGATTGTTCTTTTGAATGAAAATACTGAAATTAGAGCTCTTTCTCACAGTTTCCTGGTGTGCACTTTCATAACTGGCATTTGAAACCTGGCATTAGAAAGTGCCTAGTATATCAAGCTATTAATATGTATAAAGCTGATAAAAGCTGCCTTTGATCTGTTTGTTTAGATTTCTTCCATGAGAATAATTTTCTTACTAGCCATCAGTTCAGATTCATTTTAAAGGTGTTAGACTTCCATACTCAAACTTTCCTTTTAACAGAGAGACTCACCTGATTAATAATAATATTGTATGAAATTCTTTTCTGTGCAGTAAGTTACATAAATGTAGAACTTTAATTATTAATAGTCATAGTGTATATTTAATTGAACATTTATTTCCTTTATTTCCCTTTAGGTATCTTATAAGACTTTGAACTTTACTGTTCTGTCATCTGAAAAAAATATGAATTACCTGTGATATTTGGACTTCGATGTGGTTGGGCTATCTCCCCTCATACCTGTAGAACTGGGTATTATCCATTTTTTTCTAGTTTAGAGTATGGGAAGGACAGTTTCACATCCTCCCTTTTCTCTTCATAAGGAAATGCAGCCTCAGAGTGATTCCATATTCCAGACAGTTCAAAGAATTCTGAACCATAAGCTGAGCTTAGTTTCAGGTGAGGCTAATGGTTTTTCAAGCACCAGAATTTTCTTTAATTCATGTAGTCTTAGTATAGATATAAATGTCCTGTAGCCTAAATGTCTTTTACTTGTCAAATTACTAACATTATAAGTAAGGTAAGTCACTCTTTGACTTTAATCAAGTGTTTATTAGGTCCTACTGTGTACAGTGGAGCCAATAAAATGAAATCCTTGACAACCTTCATTTCTCCATTTATCATGATGTTGCTTATTGGTCCAGTTGTGAGGATTTTTGTTTTATTTATGTTGAGGTGTAATCCATACTGAAGTCTGTAGTCTTTGATCTTCATCAGTAAGTGCTTCAAGTCCTCTTCACAATCAATGCCTATGGTAGCAGCAGTCAAGAAATCAAACATGTATTGCATTGGGCACATCTGCTGCAAAAGGTCTCTTTAAAGTGTTGAAAAGCAAAAATGTCAGTTTTAGGACGAAGGTACACCTGACCCAAGCCATGATATTTTCAGTTGCCTCATATGCATGCAAAAGCTGGGCAATGAATAAGAAAGACTGAAGAAGAATTGATGTATTTGAATTATGGTATTGGCGAAGAGTATTGAATATACCTGGATTGCCAGAAGAACGAACAAATCTGCCCTGGAAGAAGTACAGCCAGAATGCTCCTAAGAAGCAAGGATGGCGAGACTTCATCTCATGTACTTTGGACATGTTATCGGGAGGGACCAGTCCCTGGACAAGGACATCATGCTTGGTAAAGTAGATGGTCAGTGAAAGAGAGGAAGACCCTCAACAAAATGGATTGACACGAGTGGCTGCAACAACGGGCTCAAACATAACAACGATTGTAAGGATGGCTCAGGACCAGGCAGTGTTCCATTCCGTTTTGTTATGCATAGGCTGGCTAGGAGTCGGAACCGACTTGACAACACCTAACAACAACTCTGTACAGGGCACAGGATAATATAGAACTATTTACAGAAGAAGGCAATAGATTTCCTTCCCTCAAAGAGCTTTAATCTAGTAGGGAAGCTATGACAGATGTATAAATAACATCCCCACATGGTAATACAAATTCATTGCTCGGAGGGAGATGTGATCTCGTTGGAAAATTTATTTGGTATTCAGGAGTAAGAAAAGAGCGCTTGGGCAAGAGGAGTGTCTTATTTCTTAAAATTTGTTTACAAAATCCTAAATGGGGGATAAATTACAGTGATTGTTTTCCTTGAAGGAAATAGAATTCTGTACTCCCTAAAATAATGTCTGGCAAATTTTGAAGAATTCATTAATGGGTGGAATACCCTCTAGAGTTGATACAACCTACCTTACGTGAATGCTACAAAAACTTATATTAGAAATCTGTTACATTTATATTGCTTTCATTAGTGTTTTTCATTTTCACTGTGTCATTTATAACTTTAATCTTGTTTCTTCATCTTTTAGACCTGGAATGGCCAAATATCAAGGTGAAGTTCAGAGTTTGAAACTGGATGATGATTCAGTTATAGAAGGAGTAAGTGACCAGGTACTTGTGGCAGTTGTGGTCGGTTTCGCTTTGATTGCTACCCTGGTATATGCACTTTTCAGGTGAGACTAAAGGATAGAAGAATTGAAATAATATGTATTCTTGAGGGCCACTGACTTTTTTACTGCTTCTTGTAATGTTTAATATTTAATATGAGAAGCAAGTAATAAATCACCCATATTATGAATAAGATGTTCATATTTTCAATGGAAGTACTGCAGTTTTAAAAAAATGTAATTCTTATCACTGAACTTGTCAGCTTGTAGGTGATATATATAATAAGTGCAAATTATTTTCATTTTGTAAATGTGAAAACTGAGGCAAAAAAAAAGATTTGGACGGTATAGCAGGAATTAAGATTAGAATTAAAATTATTGTCATAGAATCAGGAATAATATTTAAAGGCCTCAAATGTCTATATACCAGTGCACAGAGAAAGAAATTTAGTTGTTAAATAAATATGATAAAATGATGAATTTGTAAAAAATAATAAAATTTTATATACATCTTTGAAAACAGAAACAGACAGAATTATAAAATAGAAAAAAAGGTTAATTCCGGAAGTAACAAATCAGTGAGTTTCCTGTAAAAATTACAGAAAAGATTATTAAACAAAATGTTGTAAGCACTTAGAAAATAAAATGGTGATTAATCTACTCTTTTACTGCTATATTATTAGTCTCTTAGACTAGGGTACTATTCCCTTGATTTTATGGAATATCTGGTAACACCCTTGTGGATGTCATGGGGACTTGAGGATGAGATGATAGCACAGTAAGGTGAATTCATAACTTATTGACAGGAGGTTCCTAAGGAATACTGACTGATTGTAAACGAAAAAGGAGGACACTCTTTGTTGTTGAAAGACTGTCTTTGGGCCTACTCTTTTCATTTTTATTAGCAACTTAGACAAGAAGACACAGAGGCATGTTTATTAAAGTGTCAGTTGGGAGGGATAGCTAATGTTTGATACAAGTGAACCGAGATTCAAAAAAGAGTCAGACTAGGCAAGTACAAATAAAGTGTCTGCTCTTTGCCTCTTACGAATGGGATGCAGATATGAATTTATTGTCATGTAAAAGTATTCAAGATAAATTGTTGAGTGAGAATTGTCAAATGAAAGATCACGAAACAGTAAGGTAGCTCAATTTGTTAAAAAATATTTTTATAAGATTAATTTTATTTTAAAATATTTTTTGTCCCTTGTTTTCTAGTTTTTCCACTATGAATATGTATAACTTGTATTTAAAAAAAAAAGTTTTTTTCCCCACAGATCAGAATGATGTGCTAGGCCCAAACTAACAGTTTTCCTTTAATATGGCAGTTGTATATCCACTGCTGTTGAGTTGATTCCGACTCATAGCTACCCTATAGGACAGAATAAAACTACCCCATTGGGTAGTAATCTTTATGGAAGCCATCTGCCACATCTTTCTCCCGTGGAGCAGCTGGTAGGTTCAAACTGCCCGCCTTTCGGTTAGCAGCCAAGCGCTTAAACACTGCACCACCAGGCACCTTTAAGGCAATTGCATACTGTATTGTAAATACTAAAAATTTAATAGTGTTAGACTTCATTAATCAGAGTAACCAGATAAAGATCACATCTGAATTATATGGTGTATTCAGTTCAGGGCAAATATTTTAAACTGGAAAACATTCGTGTAAGGTTATCAGAATGGAGAAAGATATGGAAACGAATCATGTAAAAATGGCTGAAGGAACTGGAGATATTTAGCTTAGGGAAAGGAACTGTTGGACATAAAAGCTATCTTTTAAGTGTGATGAGAGCTTGTTTTATGGAAGAGGAATTAGATTTATTCTGTGTATTTTCATGGACAGAACTAGGGCCAATAGATGGATGTCAATGATGACGTTTTGCCCCGATACTAGAAGTAACTTTTCAAAATAGATAAGGGGCTCCCCATTACTTGGACAGTGTCTTGAATCTGTCATGTGATTGGGTAGGAGGTTTGCCAGCTTTTCAAATTCAAGTTCAATTAGCAGTCGTAATCAATTAGTGATGGGTTGTGGGGAGGATATGAGTAATTTAAAATTCAAACAAAGCAACCTTTTATCGCTTTTCTGTACTTCTTTGATGTTTTTAGTCATCATAATTAATTCATTTTCAATCTTTTAAAATTTGTTTTTCCTTTTTTTTAAGCTGTTAATACTAGCTGCCGTTAATTGGTATAACAGAAGCTAGTCAAAAGTCTCTGGTATAGGTATAACCCACAAACCACACACTTCTGCGCACTTGTAAACTTGGATTCAAACTTTCTTTCCATGTCTCGGGGTTTGGGTATCATTTCTTTCCTCATATCAGAGGTTTCTGGCTCCTTTCCAGGACCACATACAACTCGACTGGTTTGGTGGTTTTGGATTCCCTTTTCAAAGTACAAAGAAGGACCATAAATGCAGTAACAACAACAAATGCACTTTGTGTATTAGAACTGCAGTCTTTGCTGGCATCTGACTTTGGACCTACTTAGTGTCAAATGTCCTGTCATTTTCTCATGGCTAAGGTGACATATGTCCCAGATTTTCTAGTCTAGCTTTCATTCTGTTTTAATTATCCCATTGTTTTCTAGATTTTTTGGTTCTGTGCTCATAGCTGCCAATCACATTTAATTACCTGTGCTATAGGCAATGTTCAGAAGCTTGGGCTGTTTGTTCTTACTAAAGGGATGGCTACACATTGGCTTTTCTAATATTCTACTAAGAATTCCTATATCTTCTTGTTTATGGGAAAAAGCTAAAAGGAAGACCTCCCATGATTCATGCCTATATTCTGTAAAGTCATGACTATCTTTCTCCAATGAAAAGGGAATGGTTTTTCAGGCTCAAAGAGTAGAGAAATGCTAGGAGCCCTGGTGGTGCGGTGGTTAAGAGCTTGGCTGCTAACCGAAAGGTCAGCAGTTCGAATTCATCAGCCACTCCTTAGAAACCCTGTGGGGCAGTTCTGTTGTCGTATTGGGTCAGTATGAGTCGGAACTGACTCGTTGGTACATAACAACATTTGGCTAGGTCTTTACTAGTATTTAAATGAGATGGTTCCTTGGGTTGTTTCTTGATAGATTTTCATGTACACAGCCGTCTTTCATGGATCATTTATTTAGTCATAAGAATGTAACTTATTTAAAAATAAATAAATAAAACTTAAGGGGTTTAAACAGAGTTCAGGTAGTTTCATTACATTTATGGTGCCCTTCTGGTTAGATATTTGACTTTAAATTGTTTTTCTGTCCTCTCTGAACTAATGGTTATATTTTGTCAGTTTTCTTTTCTAAAATTTGAATTTTTTTTTCTGAAAGTTAAGTAATTATAGGATGGATTTCTTTAATTTTTCTTCTCCCGTTAAGATATTTGATTTAGAGTTGTTATCTTTGTTGGATGTTGGCTAACCCAGAAAGAAAAGGCTCTTCTATAGAGAAAGGCTGGGATTGTGTGGACTGCTGATTTTCCACTCTAATTTTCAACACTCACATGTCTTATCTCATCCACTTATGCCAGCCACTCACTTCTTGCCTTGGATTCTCCATTTAAATTGTTAATGTTAAGGTACTAGTAGTATGTTTTGGTTTTTCTATATGACATCATTTGAGTTTCTGCTTTTCTTTGACCCTCTCCCCTCACAGTTGGCATCACTAAGGGTGTGGGGGGTGCAGACTACACCAAGCTACACTGTCAGAGAGGGTGTCATCAAAATGACTGTAAAATTGTTGTTCAGTGTTTCAGCAGAAATTTATTATTTTTTATAAAAATATCCCTGTAGTTATAACAATAAATTTTTTTTTTATAAGCCCAGCTTACATGTATCAGTATACCTACAAGACTAAACCTGTGCTAATTTACTTTTTGCACCTTCTAATGTACTCCGGTCAGAGCAGTCATCATTACCCAATTATAGTGACACTTCGAATCCCATGGTTTCATCTGCACGTGCTACAAGTACGCACCGTTGTTTTCATTGCTGCTGGTGTTTTTATAGTTGCTGATTTTTACAAAGTTTCTGGTGTTTTAGCTACAATATTGTGGTAATTAGCATGAGGGGGTGACACCATGATTTGCCTCACTGTGTGACATCAACCTTAGTGACATCACTGTCCCCTCATAAGTGAAAAGTTGGGAGAAAGACCAAATTTGATGTGGAATACTGGTCAGATACATAATATGTAGAATTATATAGCTGATTACTTTGAAGACCTTTCACAAATGTGGAATAGCCTGGAATGTTCAGTCCTGGAATTGGAGTGCAGTCATATGCCATCATTTATATTTATTAAGTTACCAGTAATTCTCAGTTGAAAGTTAGACCTGTACAGAAAATTGACAATATCTTATATTCAAGGTTTATTATATTTTATTCAACAGAAATGCACATCAAAACATTCACCCAGAAAACCAAGAGCTGGTAAGGGAGCTTCGGGAACAACTTCAAACAGAACAGGTACTGTTGTTATGGAAATATATGCTTTTATGTGGGGAGTAGGTGTTATAACTTCCCCCGCATATGAAATCATGATGAAACATTAAGAAATTGTTTCTGAAACCAGGGCTTCTTTCCTGGTTTAAATTACCTTACGTTATCCTGTAAATTTCAGGTGAGGCAAATGCCAAGTCTTAATCTGTTCAGATAGTTTCATGTTTGTTTTTTAACATGCTTTAAAAGACAGCAGTTTTTCTGTTGTTTATTTTAGTGTGAGGAAATAATCACTGTCTAATTGGCCTTAATGAAATATAGTGGAAAACTATTCTTTCTCGTATATACTCCCAGAGACCTGCAAAAAAATTTCAAGAAGGGATGGCTGTGTGTTTTGTTTTCTTTTCTTCAATGGTCAGAGCTAACAAAACTAGTTAGGCAAAGAGGAGAACTTTTCTCCCCTGCCTCTTCTTTGCTTCTTACCAGATGGAATCTCTTAAGAACCAGAATGTAATATACGTTATGAAGGCTGGAAGAAGTTGGATATGGTGCACCTTCATGCTGAGATAGCTGACATGAAAAAAGTCAAAATAAAAAACTTGATTTCCTACCCACCAAGCAAACTTCAGTTCCAATGAGTTTTATAATTTATTCATTCACCAAGTATTTATTGAGCACCTGCCATGTGCCAGACACTGTCCTAGGCATTGAGAATTCCACTGTGAATTAATCAGATAAAAATTCCTACCCTTGTAGAACTTAAATTCATTGATGCACGAATAGTTTAAGCATTAGGAAAAGTACTCTGTTCCAAAACTATTGTTATCAACAGTTCATGCTAGTATAGTGCTTTACAGCTTACAAAGTGATTTCACAGACAGTTATTTAATCTTCAATACACTTGAAAAGTAAGGTAGCTATTATTATCCCCATTTAACATGTTAAGTTACTAAGACTTGCTCATATTCATACGTGAATAAACCCAGTTATGAAAGTGTCCCAGATTGAGGTGGCTCTTGCAGATTTCTTTGCCACTGTCCCATTCATCTACCTCAGACCTTCTTAGGCATGGCATATATAACTCTTGGAGTTAGAATAAAGCTAGTGACTTCATCTCATTTTGTGCTGTTCAATAAAATACTCACTAGCCAGCCACATGTGGCTATTTAAATTAATTAAAATTAAATAAAAAGAAAAATTCAGTTTTATAGCCACATTTAAGTAGCCCTGGTGGCACAGTGGTTAAGCACTCGGGCTGCTAACCAAAGGGTCTGCGGTTTGAGCCCACCAACCGCTCCACAGGAGAAAGATGTGGCAGTCTGCTTCCGTAGAGATTTACAGCCTTGGAAACCCTATGGGGCAGTTCCACTCTGTCCTATACGGTTGCCATGAGTCAGAGTCAACTCGACGGCAGTGGGTTTGGTTGGTTGGTTTAGCCACATTTCAAGTACTCAACAGCCACATGTAGCTAGTGGCTACCACATTGGACAGTGTAGGTAAAGATTTCCACTATGGCAGAAAGTTCTGTTGGACAGCGCTGATTATTTTATTTTTATCAGTTAATTTCTAAAGAAGAAGAATGACGGAAAAGGTGGAGAGAGAGGCATTAAGAGCTGTACATTTTCTTTTTTACACCATTAAAATGGCTATAAAAGACCATAACATCAATGTGTGACCTTGGCTTAGAGAATATTTCAGTTATGGCTTATTAATATTAGGTGATAAAGTCTTTGGTTCAATTTATAGTTAAGAATATTTCATATTTAGTGAATTCATTCATTCCTTTTTTAATAATTTGGTGTTTTTAATACTACTGCTTTGTTTATAAGCTGTGTGCTGGGTGCTATAAAAACAGCTTTTGACTGATACATTTTTTAACAAATAATGTATACATTAAGTACTAGCACTAGGTCATTTTCTAGGTGCTTAGGTACTACAGTGAATTCTACAGATAAAAGTCCCTGCCCTCATGACAGTTATATTCTGGTCGGTTCTCTGATACCCGGATTGGTCTTATACTCATGATTCTAGTCAGCATTCCTGTTACAATCACAAGAGTGATGTAACTGAGAAACATGTTGAAATTTATTAATCTAACTATGTGAACAACCAGAATGCTCCTTAGAAGCAAGGATGGCGAGACTACGTCTCACATACTTTGGACATGTTATCAGGAGGGATCAATCCCTGGAGAAGGACATCATGCTTGGTAAAGTAGAGAGTCAGCAAAAAAGAGGAAAATCCTCAACCAGATGGATTGGCACAGTGGCTGAAACAGAGGGCTTAAGCATAACAAGGATTGTGAGGATGGCACAGGACTGGGCAGGGTTTCGTTCTCTACGTAGGGTCGCTATGAGTTAGAATCGACTCAGTGGTACCTACCAACAGCAATTATGCGAAAGGATTAAGTTCAAGTCGTGGGTAGTCTTAAATTTTTCTGCTTTCAAAATGACCGAATATTCTTCTCTGGAAGCTTATCTCTGGTCTGTTTTGCAACATTTGTCAGGAAGAAATGTGAAAAGTCAAAAAGAGCTAATACTTAGAAAATAGTTTCACACTTCTTATTCTTCACCTTATCCATTAGCTCAGCCTTGTAGATAACCTGTCACTCAGAATAATTGACTCATTCCCATAGAGTAAAAGAGAAATTCCTGAGTTAATCTAGGTTTTTACTTTAAGCTGACCTTGGGAAGGAAGGTAGAGACCAGCTGAAGTAAAATAATATAGCCTCATGACTTTCAAATCTATGAGACCTTAAACTATTGCACATCTATGTGTGATTTCTAAAATTTGGTGAGGATTATGCACTGTTGGATATATACTTAAGTATCATTTGACATAAAGATAGACTTGAAAGCCCTATGTGTGTCATGTGTAAATATGTATATGTATTTTCTCATCAGGATGCAACAGCTGCTGCTCGACAGCAGTTCTACACTGACATGTACTGTCCAATCTGTTTACATCAGGCCTCCTTCCCTGTGGAAACCAACTGTGGACATCTTTTTTGTGGTAAGCAAACAACGCTACACTTCGTAAAAATGGCTATTTATATCAAGTCCCATACATGTACAAAGGCTGGATTCCTAATTTTCTCTTTTTCTCATTTTGTATCTCCTGAGTCTCAGTTCACCGAATCCCTCATTACTCATCACTTTTTGGTACTGTGGTTTTTATTTATGATTCATCCTTCCCAGGGCAGGAAGGTTCTTTTCTCAAGAACCCTGCCCAAGACTATCCCATAGCTCTACTACTTCTTCTTACTGTGAGTTAGTACAAAAGTATTAACCTCTCTCTTTGTGACCTCAAGGGAGTTGATGAGAGAGAATGAGGAACCTAGAGCATACAGCAGGACAAGAAGGAAATATTGATTTCACATTTACTTAGTATCATTAAAGGTTGCTTTCTACACCTCTCCCTCCATGGTTTTTCCTAACCCTTCAGAAGGATTTCATAGAGAATAATGAGTTCTTACACAAGCATTGTTTGCTATGGTCATATGAGATTTGGGGGGCATGGTAGTCAGTTAATTAAATGCCTAGTATGTGCTGAATACTTCATCTTATCTAACCACATAGATGAGGAAACTGAGGCTCAGATATTACGAACCTTTACAAAGTATAGCTCAGCTGTTAGGTAACAGAGCTAGGTTTTAAACCTAGGTCTGTCTTTAAGCCCCCTGTTCAGTTCTGCTGTATGATTGGTGGCTTATACAATAGTGAACACTCTAAGAACTGCTTTCTACTTAAATGTGTCACTAGACCTCTTTTTTATTGGTAGTATTTCTTTCTTTTGAACAGCTGTATTCAAGACAGGGTCCTAGTTGTTTCTTTGTGTGGAAACATAAAGACCAATTTTAAATGTAGTATACAATGATCTTATAGAGCCCTGGTGGCACAGTGGTTAAAGTGCTCTGCTGCTAATCAAAAGGTCATCAGTTCAAAAGCTTCAGCCGCTCTACGGGAAAAAAATGTGGCAATCTCCTCCAGTAAAGATTACAGCCTTGGAAACCATATGGGGCAGTTCTACCCTGTCCTATAGGATCACTGTGAGTCGGAATCGACTCAGTGACAACAGGTTTGGTTTTTTGGTTTATACAATGATCTTATAAATTGTTTCCTCACCTTTGTATGTTTTATCTAACTGGCTTTATCACGTAGAATTCTTAGGGACAGTGTCATTGTTTATGCTGTCAGGGATGACGTGAATATTTGAAATCCATGCCATGCAATGCACGGTTTTCTATATGTTGTGCTCATTTATTGCCTTGTCCATTAATTTCAACCTCTTCCCTAAGGTTTTTGCCTAAGTAGCCAACAAGTTATAAATACTATTTCAGTTTCTATCTTCAGTTGTGTGTTGGAAATACTAATGAGAAGCAAAATAATGAAAGGTCAGATGGCGGAATCAAAAGGCCATTAGAGAAGGCAGATCCCTGGCCCAGATGTCCCTACTTTTCCCTCCCAAACTTCAGGTAGATGTTCTGAATCAATCTGGCACTCTTTCCTTCTGCGTCAGGGTATGGTCTCAATTATCCTCCCAGCACAGTACTCCAGGCAAGTGTTAGTAATTAGTGAGGTTTGGCAGGCAAGATGAACTCTGTTTGCCAATTGAGGCTTAGGTAATTTACTAACTGGGTAACCCAGTCAATTGAAAGATGGCCGTACTGTGTTCTTGGTTTTACCTCTGGGTCTGAGGTAATAGGGTAGATTGTTTCTGATACCCTGTTCTACTTGTTGGCCACTTCTATTTAATGTTTGTGGGTTCAGAGGTTAAAAAAAACTAGTTATTCAACTTCCCAATAAACAGAAATGTGTTTCTTTGAATACTAGTTCACGTATATGAATACCATGTATATCAAGAGCACTGTAGCTTAGTTCCCATGTATGGAACTGCAGTTCTATTCCATTACAGTGAGTTAAGAATAACAGTAGCAACAGACATCAATCTCAATTTCATTTCTAACACATTATTTTATTACCAACAGTCTTGTGAGAACTATGTTGTTATTCCTGTTTTATAGATAATAAACAGATTTAGAGATTGTGACCCAGATTAAAGTAATCCAGTCATCTCTCATTCAACCACCCTATTTAGGTGGATATCTCTTTTTGTAGAGTAGGAAAGCTAAGGAAGAAGAAAACATAAAGCACCTCGTAGCAACATGTATGAACTGAAGTGTTTGATATGATGGATCACAGTTTTTCAGTACAATCAAGTAGCCGTTAATAATCTGCAGAACAAGGGCACCTGTACCCCAACTTGTGGAATAGAGAAATGTGAGGTTAAATGAGTTAATATATTTCAAAACATACTGAGTTCTTGGGTGGAAAGGTAGTAGATAAATCATTACAGATGATAATAACAGATTAATAGTGAGGTTTACGTTTCATATAGTTCCTTTTGAAATTAGATTGTTCAAAGTACTTAATTAGTAAATATTATCTAATTAACACAGCACTCTGTCAGAGTAGGTAAAAATACCAGATAAAGATAATTGAGACAGCTTTTGCCTAACCCATCTGTTTGCTCACCAGTTTCTTCTGACTCCATTTATTTCTGCTTCTGGTGTTTGCTCTTGCTGTTCCTATAATCTGGAGCATCCTTCCTCCTGTGTTTTGACGACCCAAATCTTACTCATCCTACAAAGTTCAGTTCAAATCCTCTCTGCTCTCAAGTTACACTCTTTCAATGCATTCCAGAGAGTTTTCCCTTTCTGTACTCCTTTTGTACTCGAAGTTAATATTACACAGTTCAAGATTTAACTACCCCCTAATTGATTTAAGTATGCCACCTTGGTCTCTCAATTTGATGGTCATTGCTTACTCTGAATTCTGGATACAGTTCAGTCTGGTGGAATGTACATTAAGTGACACAGGAGGACTAAGCTAGGTTGCCAAGGCAAGAGTAGGAGTATAGAGAAGATCCCTGGAGTAAGAGGGAGATCAGAAGCACTATAGTTCAGATTCACAGTTGGGCCTGGGTGGTCGGAGAAGCAGGGTCCTCCAAAGAAGAAAGTGAATTAGCTCCTTAAATATCAGACAGTATTTAAAAACATGCCTTTTTCATCTTTTACTGGCCTGAAGTTTAGTGTTTATACACTTAGCTCACATACCACTTTTTGAGGTCACATAAACTCTTCTTTTAGGCTGTGTTGCCTACCTTCAGCTTTTTGCTACTTATGAGTACCTTCAAGGAAAAAAAAAAAAAAACCCATCCAGTACAAGAGTTGGTTTAGTTAGTGAACTGGATTATAAACTTTTTTAGGGCAGAGAGCAAGTAATCATTGTATCCTTTGGTTCTTTGCTCATACTACTCAATTATTATTAGTTGATACTTCAATAATTTTTTTTAAACTCTTAAAGATATTTTTAAAAATGCATTTTGTAGCATATATTTTAAATTTGGAGCAGAAATTTTATACTGAGATTTGTTGGTTATCATATTTACGATAATGTTTAATTATTTCATTTATTTTACATAGGAATGTAGTATTTTCTGTTTGGCCTCACAGCATCCAGACAGTTAATGCATGCTTTTTTTTTTCATTGTGGTAAAATATATATTACAAAAAATGTGCCATTTCAACCGCTCTTAATTGTATAATTCAGTGATATTAAGCACAGTCACCATGCTGTGAAACCATAACCACTATCCATTCCCAAAGATTTTCATTATACCAAACAGAAACTCAGTACCCTTTAAGCAGTAACTCCCCATTCCTCCTCCTCATCAGCCCCTGGTAATCACTAATAAACTTGTCTGTTTGCATTTGCCTATTCTAGATGTTTCATGTAAGTGGGACTATACAGTGTTTATCCTTTTGAGTCTAACTTATTTCACTTAGCATAATATTTTCAATGTTCATCCATATCGTAACCTATATCAGAATTCCATTTCTCTTTATGGCTGAATAGTATTCCATTGTATGTGTGTACCACATTTTGGTTATCCATTCATCTGTTGATGGACATTTGCTTTGTTTCCACCTTTTGGCTATTGTGAATAATGCTGCAGTGATATTGGTGTACAAGTATCTCCTTGAGCCCCTGCTTTCAATTCTTTTGAGTATATATTTAGGAATGGAATTGCTGGGTGATATCGTAATTCTATGTTTAATTATTTGCGGAACCGCCAAACTGCTTTCCGTAGCAACTGCACCATTTTACATTTCCACCAGCAGTGGATGAGGGTTCCAATTTCTCAACATCCTCTCCAACACTTGTTATTTTCCATCTTTCTGATAATAGCCATTCTAGTTGGAGTGACATGGTATCTCACTGTGGTTTTGATTTGCATTTCCCTAATGACATCAAGGAGCCCTGGTGGCACAGTGGTTAAGAGCTCGGCTGCCAACCAAAGGGTCAGCAGTTGAATCTACCAGCCACTCCTTGGAAACCCTATGGGGCAATTCTACTCTGTCCTATAGGGTCGCTGTGAGTTGGAATCGACTTGATAGCAATGGGTTAGGGTTTATTTTTTTTTGGTTTAAGTATTATAAACATTTGAAGTGTACTCAGGATATATGGACTTTCAAACACCAGTCTTGTTTTTTCCCACTAGGTACCTGCATTATTGCATACTGGCGATATGGTTCATGGCTTGGGGCCATCAGTTGTCCAATCTGCAGACAAACGGTAATGTTTTGTATCCAGAAAGCATCATTTATGCTGGTTAACTTTATAAATTCTTATAGTTTATCTAAATTTTGAATTATTTTGATACTTTTAACAGAACTTTACTTATCCAAAGCTTCTATGATAATTGCTCCATTATTTTTTTTAAAAACTACTTTTAAGACATAAACTTAAAAAAATTAGGAATTCCGTTTGAGATCCTTGTTTTAGTGAAAAACAACTGATAATGAATCCCCCCAACATTCTAACAAGTCTTTGTTGCAATACCAGCAGAAAAATTAATCAGTCATGAAAATATTACCTACATGTACTACTTTTGAAAAAAAATTACTTTCCTTTATTTCTTTTAAAGCTGCCTTTTTTTCAGCAAAGTTCCAAATGATGAAAAATAATTTTTTATAATGTTCCAGTTCTGTTGGAGACATATTCACATTGCATTGTCCAAAACAGATTGGAACATTACAGTTAATGTACAGAGAAGCTACCTCAGAAGGGAGGCAGTAAGTTTTTTAACCCTACATTTGAAGAGTAAAGGTCAGCACAGTGAGAAAACTGTAATGTATCATATGGAAAAACAAAATATTAATCTGAGAAACCCAAGTTCTTAGTTTTTTAATTAGTAAATATATCAAAACAGGACATTCTATCAGCTTTACACAGTTTTTCAAAACTTCCTATTATACTTATTTTGATTTTTAATTTAAAATAAAATATATACATTTCATATACATAACAAGTTATGAACGTGTAAAAAGATAGCATTTCCTTAGGAAGTCTTCCAGTATGCAAAACTAAGTCCTAAAAAGGATAGAGGGTTTCTAAGTAAAGATGTCAGATTGAATGCATATATTTACTTTTGCTTACTCTTGAAACCTCACCAAAACAACAGTAAAGGGAATTTTATAAAGATACAAACCTTCAGAAATCAAAACTTTTTAAAAATGACAGAAACAATTTTTCAAAAAATTTTCATGAAATATATACAGAAAAGCACACAAAACAAGAGTGCAGCTTAATGAATTATCCAGTAACCACCACCCAGGTGAAGAAATACAAAATTGCCATCATCCCTAGAAGCCCCAGCTGAGGGTCCCTTCCAAATCTGAACCCCCTTCCTCCTCACCTGTGTAACCACTATACCGACTTTTATGTTAAGCATTTCTTTGATGTTCTTTATCATTTTATTACCTCAGCATGCATCTCTAAATATTATTGTTTAGTTTTGCATGATATTTGGACTTTATACAATTAAAACCACATAGTTTATATTGTCAAATACATACACATACGCATATACCTTTCTTTCAGCTTTATTCTGGCTGTCCACTTCCCTCATCTGCCTGCTTTCTTTGGTGCAGAGAGTGAGGCCTAGATCTTTCTCTTCTTGCTTCTACATTCCCAAATTCTGTCCCCTTTACACTGGACTTTTTATCACACATTTAGGAGGAACGTTGATTTTTGTGTGTGTGTGCTGCCTCTCTGGCTGATTGGATAAGGGACCCCTGGCAGTCAACAGTGACACTTATTTGCCAATTCCACCTCTCATCATCTTTTGCCATCTACCAGTGCATTGAGACCAGGCAGTAGGTCTTGCGTTAAAGACTTAGTCCTGCCACCTGCCCCCTCTTCTTGGCTCTACACGTGGCTTTTCATAGGGCATATGTATATTAGCAGGTGGTATCCTTTCTGCTATCCATAATTGAGACTAGAGGCTAGTAAGGTGGAGATAAACTTGTTTTAATAGAATAGCAGTTGGTTCCCTACCTCTAGGGCAATTCATCCTGGAGGCAAGGCAGATGGCAGGTACCTGCTCCACCTCCTGTTTCATTGGGTTGCGTTAGCCAATGGTCATGGAAATAAAAACGCACAGGCTGCTGCCTCTGGCTGGAACAGGCTCACTACTTTTCTCCCCAAACACGTACACTAACATACAACAGTCCTACCCACATTTCAAGCCCTAGCCTAAGTTTCAAGCTTTCTGAGAAGAGGTACTTACTCGCATACCATCATAATAACACCTACCACGGTGTCTTGTAACAGGCTGCTTAACAGGTCTGCCTCCACCTCTCTCTTGGGTATTGTGGTCACCAAGGGGGCAGGTCCATGTCTTTGTTTTTTGTATACCTAGCACTTAGCATGGTGCCTGACCCATAGTAACTGATCAATTAATGTTTATTGAACAAATGTTATTTTTATTACAGATTTGTGAAGGAAGAGATGTTTGTACCTGCTGTTCCCACCACCTACTGCTCTTAGTTACTTCTTTGTTTAGCTTTTTGGAAAGCATCTGAGCAGTGGAATGCACTGTGTTTTATAGATGAACTGAGGAAGGATGAACAATAGCTGAATGATTTAAAACTAAACCTGTCACTCCTCCTTCCCAACTTCATCTCATTGTACAGCTCATCACTGATCTTTTTTTTTTTTTTAAACAGAGGTTGTTACATTTTGAACTTTATTTTCTTTACGAGGTACTGTCGCCTTCAGATTATCCCAGTGAGGGCCTAGGGTGTCTGTGTATCTTCCCTACCACTACTATGGAGGCAGCAGGGTGAAAAGTATTACATAATATACAATAGTATCAAGGGTTATACTTCTTAATTCTAGTAGGGATTGGCATTTGAGAGCTCATCCCTGCAATAACTTAATCTTTGTATTATGGTTGATAGCATTCAGAGATGTTTCAAATATTGGTGAAAATAAGGAATCATCATTTTAATACCCTCCCAAAAAAAATCTAGATTTTTCTGTCTCAATGGGATGGCAATATATTTTTATCTCATGTTGCTCCTGAATATTTTCTCATCATTCTTATATCTTCAAATATCTAATCTACTGAATTTATCTGTGGTGTGGACAGGAAAATATTAGGACCAGTGCTTAGATATAGTGTCCATTTTATTTTATAGATGTTCAAATTACATTTTGCAATGTATTTTATTGTAAGGCAATAATATTATAACTTACATTTTTCCCTGTGCTGCCTTTATTAAGGAAATGAGTAAAATATAAATTTAGACATTTTTCTCATTGTATTGAGTAATAACACAAAATGGAAAAAACTAATGATGCAGAAAGAAAATTTAACAATTTTTTTCTCAAATATACAGGTAACTTTACTCCTAACAGTATTTGGTGATGATGATCAGTCTCAGGATGTTGTGCGATTGCTTCAAGATATTAATGATTATAACCGAAGATTCTCAGGGCAGCCTAGATCCGTAAGTAATATAACAGCAGGTGTAAAAAAGTTAGAGGGAGCCATTCTACTTCTTTTTTGTGAAGTGAAATTTACCAATACGTGTTCTTTGGCTATGAAAAATCCCATTGCTTATGTGTGTTGGGTAAAGTTTTTAGATTTTTTTCCCTTCATTTTTGTTAATCACTGAGTTATAGCTTTCCAAGGATGACAGTTTTCTTTCTTAAAGCAAAACAAAACGCTATAAAAGTCTCTTTATGCAAGAGAAACCAGCAAAAAAGCAATGGGAAAATTGGAGGGAAGTCGAAACTTACTGGCTCCTGTGTGATTCTGAAGCATGGTTTGTCTATGAGAAAAACTTAAAATTGAGAATTCACGAAGGAGTTTTACAGTTGCATTTTACTCCATTTTCTTTCCTCTCCTCCCCAGTCTGAAATCTTCCTTTTTAAGTACTCTAGGTTAAAAAAGCCTTTTTCCTTGTCTTTTTTTTTTTTTTTTTTTTTGCACGGCATCTTAGTTATTCAATATCACTCTATTTTTAAAGAACACAAAATGCTACAATTGATCTCCCTGCCAAAGAAAGCATTGGTAAATTAAACCTTGCCACATTTTGCAGACTTATTCCAGTTTTCTCAAAAATCTAACCAGTGATTCTAGAAGTGTGTGTATGACTGCATATGTACTTCCAAAACCAGAATGATTAAGTACAAATGTATATGGAAAGCCCAGACCTCTCCTCTGAGCTTCAGACTTTGTAGATCCAGCTGCTTAATTTACATCTCCACTCGGATGTTCTGTAGGCATCTCAAACTTCACATGCATAATATGAATTCCAGATGCCTTCCCTGCCTCAGTGTATTCTTTTCTTAGCTTAAAAAAACAAAACCCGTTGCCGTTGAGTCGAATCTGACTCATAGCGACCCTAAAGGACAGAGTAGAACTGCCCTATAGGGTTTCCAAGGAGTGGCTGGTGGATTTGAACGGCCAACCTTTTGGTTAGCAGCCATAGCTCTTAACCACTGTGCCACCAGGGTTTCCATTTCTCAGCTTAGTAAATGGCAAACTCTCCCCCACCACATTTATTCAAGCCAAAACTCTGGATGCCATCTTTGATTTCCTCCTCTCCCTCTTCCCCTCATCTGATCTGTAAATAAGTCTTATCACTCCATTTCTTGCTCTTTTTTGGGAGTACTGTCATTTTTAACCTCATAAAAATATCCTGAATGGTCTACCCTTCTCTCTCACTGTAGCCATCATACTAGTCCAGGCTGTGAAAATTTATGTTCATTTATGTACAAACCTAGTGATTCATGTGTGTTTCTGTACATATTCAGGAACCTAATCACTTTTACAAAGGGGGAGGGCTCTGGTATTCAGAAGATCATTGTGACAATTAATAATTTGCTTAAATTCAAGCTAAGAAGAGTAAATGTTTTATCTAAGAAGGAATCTGTTTCACTGCTACACTACTGTTAGACAGTCAAAGCCATAAAGGTGATAAAGTTTAGATATATCTTTAGTATATAATATTTGTATATTGTCTGACAATTTATAAAGGTCTTTCTGATACAATATCTTCTTTGTTCTCAGTAGTCCTTGTGGCACATAAATAATTAAGTTGTTGAATTATCTCTAGTAGGTTAAACTACTTTACCCAAGGATATAATAACTTATTAACTTTGAATTCAAATTCATGTCTGTCTGATTTTAAAGCTGAGACTCCAGCTCAAGCCTCAGGCTCTAATCCCAAACACTAAGTTCTTGATTTAGTTTACTTGATTAAGTCAAATTAGAGATGACTTGAGTTTTGTATTACTATATCCCGTATTTTAAGCTTGCTGACACTTTAGTTGCCATTGATTTATCAGCAATAGGACCTATTTATAGGAACCTAGTAGTCAAAGAACTATTTTTAAATAATATGCATTAGAAAATATTGTTTAATCAACTACAGACAACTGAGTTTTTCTGTACATTTTTAAAAAATTACATAGATGTTTATCAGCATCCTGGGCCTTTACCCACTAGATGCCAATAGCACCCCCATCCCAGTTGTGACAACTGAAATTGCCCCCAGTAGAGAGCCACTGTGCTACGTAAAAGGCAGACACTGAAGTGAATCCACTGCTCCCAAGGATCTTCAGATTGACTTACAGCTGGAGCAGACTGTTCACCCACGAGGGGATTTGTCAGAAGATATAAGGTGTCAGGTAAAAACAAGTTTGAGACATTTAAAGGTCAGGCTGAGTACATGGGAACTTTAGAAGCTGTCCTTCCAGGGTTTGAGACAGTAAAGGAACAAAAATCAGAAAAACTGAAGACTAGGATGAACAGGTCTTTAGGAAAGATCTTAGCGCTGTAATGGCCTGTTTACTGGAATAATTAAAACACACCAGAAAAGAGGGATAAAACATCCAGAAAGAGGGGGTGAAGGTCAGAAAAAATCAGAGCCAAACTCAAAAAATTAGGAAGTCTACAAAAATTTAGTACAGTTTTTCTCTATTCCTTCTCAATTCCACATGAAGTTAAAAGGTAAAACAAACAAATGGAAAGCAATAGCAACAGCTCACCCATCTTTGAAACAACTAGAAAGAATCATGAAATCAGCATGGCAGGTTTATTTAGGACTTTGCGCTAACAATGGATTGGGGAAGGAATACACAGTATTTTAAACATACAGCCATACGAAATGCACACAATTCACACCAAAATCAAGTCAAGGGTTATTTGATCAACTATTAAGTTAGAGAAATCAGCAAACTTAGAGAGTAACAAGTGGGTACAATGAGTTCAAGGAAACAGACAGATATTCATTTCAGATAATAAGAAATAGTAATTTAAGGTATAAAACAGAGGCATAATTGTCCAAGAACTCCTGCTTGGAGTAAATAATACTTTCTTATATTATTTACTCTAAATAATACCGTAAAGTATTATTGTATT